GCAGCGGAGGGCACCCAACATGGCCACTCCCCAACCGTATTCAGCCACGGAAGCCCCGGGGGTGCACCAGCCGCTGGGAATTACCGCCGGTTGCCAGCCGGCAACCCTACATATGACAGGCCCGTACCTGTGGTGCGCCGTGATGTGCCAGGCGGGGAACAGTCACCAATGCAGTCCCTGCTTTCCCCGAAGTCCATGCAGTCCCCACCATCCCCGGGACTGCAATCCCCTCGAACAGGTCAACCAGAAAGTAGTGGTGGCAGTATCCATGGCGACATGGGGCACGTGCCTCTGTACGATCTTCCCATGCCTGGCCATGGGTTACAGCCTCAGGGCCCCGATGATGATGATGATGATGGACTATGGACTATGGATGTGGGAAGGCCTAGAACTGCCAACGCGAGAAGAACTCCTGGCGGAGGAAGGTGACACACACCGACGTAGCTGGCAACCGGGTGAGCTTGGTGGTGAAATGTGTGAAGTTGTCATGGTACATGTGTATGCTTGAAACGGGTGATTTCACATTCTTGCCAGGGAATGATGGCAGTCGGCCTCTCACACGGTTTCAGCGTGTGGCTTATCCAGAATTGCCGAACAACACTGCCATTCGTGCACTGGTAGTGACAGCTTGCCTTCACGCACTTGACGTCAAGGACAGCAGCCCATCTGCCACGGAGACGGTAGTGAGGGAGATGCTCAGCAAGAAGCACGCTGACTTCACTGGGCCGTATGCCAGCAGGGAACAGAGGGCAGCAGCACCATTTCTTCCAACGTCCTTCAAGCAAGCACTTACCCAGCTTCAAGATGTGGGTGGTTGTCGATGGCCAAGGCTCATTCGGTACGACATGTGCCCCTGTGGGTTCATTTACCGTGGGCCCGAGTATTGGGGGGCTGATCATTGCGGGGGCATGGTACCTGGCCCGCGGGCAGGCGAGTGGATTGCCTGTCCAAAGATGCGCTCGGAGGCAAGATATCTGACCTATAACCCAATTGGCGGGTTCTGCGGGCGTGTCTTCAGCAACAAGCAGCTCGCGGAGGAGTTCTCCAGCTGGCAGAGCCCAGATCGGATGAGGCGCAATGGGCAGCTGAGGGACATTTGTGATGCAGCTGTAGTCCAGGAACTGCTGGCCTCGGACCCCCGTTTCCGTGATCCCCGCTGCCTCGTCACAATGATTGCCTCCGACGCGTTTGTGGTGAGTTTGCTTGGATTTGGGATGGTTGGGTAGGCCGGAGGATCGAATATTGCCATGTTCACTGTCATCCCTATTAACCAACCTCCTGCCTGCCAGGTGCCTGCAGACGAGCAAGAACGCTCAAGCACGGCGTGGCTTCTACTCGTTGTCAACGCGCCTCCGGAAAAGCGGTACCTGCTGGGATATTGCACAATCTTGTGTGTAACGGCGGGAAACGTCAAGCCGACGGGCCAGAAGCAAGCGGAGTATTTCGACCCCAATCATACCCTTCTACTCATCACGGATGACTTACTGACACTGATTACCGAAGGTGTGGTGGTAACGGACGCAAGAACTGGTGAGGAGTTCCCACTGTATGTTGCTAACGTGGGTCTTGTGATGGACTATAAGGGCTTCCAGAAGCATCTCGGCCTCAAGGGCACCCCCTCACCGTCTGGCTGCTTCAAGTGCTGTGCTGTCGGGCACAGGGTGGGCACCAAGACGGTTTGGTGTAACCATCATCGCTGGCTCTCGCCAGGTCATCCCTGGCGTACTGATGTTGCTGATCTGCACAGGTACGGAGATGGGGCTGCACCAGTTGTATTCTCTTCTCTCTAAACCCTAAGTTGTCTTTCTTTCTCTCTAATTCTGACACGTTAGATAAAAAGCCTGGGCCCTCCCTTGTGGGTCCACCCGTGCTGTGTGCAGGTTAGCAACGGCTTGTGGCACTGACGAAGGACCACCTCCATTTCGAACACGGCAGGAGCTCACGGCAGGTGTTCAGGAGCCACCAGCTGTCAAGGCTGCACTTGCTGCGAATGCTGGGGTGCACCATGGTGATGGCGGGGGGCCCAGCCATGGCACTGATGATTTTGCAGGGGATGTCAGTGAGGAGGAGGTGGAAGCGGATGAAGAGCCAGCCAGTGGGCGTGGCCGCCAGCATGCACGCGAGCTTGAGGAAGAGCTACCTGGTGGACGACGCAGCCGTGGCAGGGGCCGCACTGGGCGAGACAGGGGCCGGGGGTCCCGTGGGGCCGTTACTGCAAACACCCGTGGTGCAGGCGTTGCACGGCGGGGAAGGCGGGGGAGGAGCCCAGTGAATGCCGTCAGGGGTAATGCAGTGGGCCAGCCAGGAGTCATTGCAGGGGATGTCAGTGAGGAGGAGGTGGAAGCGGATGAAGAGCCAGCCAGTGGGCGTGGCCGCCAGCATGCACGCGAGCTTGAGGAAGAGCTACCTGGTGGACGACGCAGCCGTGGCAGGGGCCGCACTGGGCGAGACGGGGGCCGGGGGTCCCGTGGGGCCGTTACTGCAAACACCCGTGGTGCAGGCGTTGCACGGCGGGGAAGGCGGGGGAGGAGCCCAGTGAATGCCGTCAGGGGTAATGCAGTGGGCCAGCCAGGAGCTGCAAAGCTCCTTGTCCCTGGGCGTCCAGAGCTCGTGGGCCTTGCCTGCCCCATTTACATCCTGCGGTATTTCAACCCCTGCTCGATGATCAACATGGATGGCATGCATACTCTCGG